ATATCTGTGGCACGGAGCCAAGCAGACGTGCAGCAACACAACAAAAGACAGTAAAATGTGGATCAAAGACCTGATCTCATATGTGAGGTTTAAGTAAACCACATAAACAAACAAGATGCAGATAAAGACGAAGACAGATGGATTCATATAGAGATAAAGACCACTTAAAGAACAAACTCTTAAGTTAAAGGAGAGAAAAGTTAAAGATGAAAGTGCAGATAAAAAAACAGGAATGCTGGATTTGAAACAAGAACAATTAAAATTTGTAAAAGAAGCACAATTCAATAAACGTACAATATTTTTTTCCCCACTCAGTACTAGTGAAGCTTTAGTTGTTTCCAAATGTGAAATAATCTGAATTCTTTTTCCTAGAAATTCCTCGAAGAGCAAAATTCGAGCATTATGGGTTTCTTCCAAAATCTGGACAAAGAAGGAACTCTGAAGGTCGGCAACTCTGCCTTCAGGAGGCTGTGAAGGTCTGGCTAACGGCTTCATACACTGTTCAATGCACCTCCTGAGTGAATACAAAATCATTTCAACATGCTGCAGTAGCTGCTCACGCACAAATGAGCGACAGAGAAAATGAAATTATGTGTGCAGGAAGCTGGCGTACCTCTGGACGGGCATCAGCTCCAATATCTGGTCAGGAAGTTTGACCTGAAGTTTACAGCCACCATCGCCTACAGGTTGGTCTGGCAGCTGGATCATTAGAATAATAATCTGTTTTTTTGTTTGTCAAGAAATTTGTAAGTGTTTTCCGGTGCTTTTTCCAAGCAATCATTTGGATGTAGTTTAGTTGAAGTCAGAGCAACTTCATCATTTATTGTTCTGTTCAAATGAGCTGGAAACAGACAAACGTGTGGACCGTCAGACGGTCATTTGATGCTGAACTGTTTTTCTTTGTTGCAGTGATTTTGCCAACCTGTAACAGACACGGAGACGTACGCTATTACCAACACGACTGTATGTAGCAGCAGATGAGACGCATTCAAATAAGGGTTCATACCTGATTTTGTCCTTAAGGTGTCAGTAGTGTGGCTTCAACATCCAGCACCCTTACAACTCCGACTAAAGCACAATTTTACAATTTTTTGAAAATGTAATAATGGAAACGCACCAACCTGGAAGTATTGTGCAGCCCTGACAGGTGTATCCAAACAGCAGCTTCCTCTGACGTCAGCGACAGCCTCCCTCTGTAGTTCTTAGCTCAGCCCTTATCTGTCCAACCCACTGTGTGCACTTGAACCTCTGACACCAACCAGCTGCACCGACCTCAGCGCTGTCAGCTGTGTCTGGGCCACAGGGTCCTCCGCCTCATTCTCTCCATCCAAAATAATCTTCTGGTATGACAACAGAACAAGAGGTGGAAGAAAAAGAGAGCTGGCGTCCATATCAAAGGGCCGAGGGGAGCGAAAGAATAGGGCCAGATGCAAGCTAGTTGTTTCGCCACATCGGGTAGATTTGAATGAAACTGCCTGTAAAGGAAACGGCACACTTATGAATATACATGTGCAGCATTACTTATGCAGGATTATAAAGGCCGCGCTGCTGAATTGTCTCAAGGTGTGATGTCCAGCAGTGCAGTCGGTTCCTGTCAGGTGGGTTTAGTGGAAACCTCAGAGGAGACGACGACACGAAGCGCCGTCTCACCTGAGTGTGTTCGTCACGTCATCTGTAAACAGCTTGACGACAGGAGAAGACAAATACCCCATTTAATGAATTAATATCCTCCAGCTTCATATCACCAGCCTGTATGTAAACACAATATTAAGACTACAGGTCTGCAGAGGAAACAATATGCAGTGGTAAGTTTCCTAGCTGTAAAATAAATGTGAAGGACCTGCTTGATTAATAATAAAGATGCATGTACGAGAAGCAAAAGTTTCATTAGATGAGCTGCAGCCTCCAACAGGCTCCACCTGCATTAGTCTTGCTTCTTTCACCTTCATCACCGTCTTCTCTTCCTGGACCCTCCAGGTAGATGGTCTTCTTCAACACAAGTGCTGACCTCCATGCCAGCGTCACTGTTCCACGGTCACTTTTGGAGAAGCAGTCAAAGTCTTTAAAATCTCCTCTTGTTCATCATCTTCCTCCCCGGCTTCTTCGTCTGAGGAGCTCGTCCACGTGATGCCTGTGGAACTGGAGAATCTTCCACATGATGAACTTCAGTAAAGCTACGACATCATCTTCATCACCAGTTTGGTCCACGTCACTCAGAACTTGTTTCAAAGGGATGGTGATGCAGTCTGTCTTCTCTTCCATCAGACTGAATGTCCTGTAACCTGCATTCAGACAACTGAAGTACCATCATCGTTCATAAAAGGAACCAGGAAAACTTTTATGGCTTTTGCAAAGATGTGCCACACTTGGTAAAACTGGTGTTTATGTGAAATGAGGCGACACGTTCTCACCCTGATGTGCACCAAGACAGTCTGAGTCAGAAACAAAAGCTCGTAGATTTGAACCCACATTAGTTTTTTCTACATTGTACATTTAGCCAGTAGAGAAATCCCAGACTTTGCTGACTAAATTCCACATGAACTGTGTAACATAAGAGGATTGGTCGTTAAAATCCAGCGATGTTTATCATCTTCTGCAAGTTCACCTGCAGACAGGTATTGACATCACAGATTGTCTAACTGATGAGACACATATGCTGGACTCCTTAAAAAATAAATACACAGAATGCACCAAAACAAGAACATGTCAGGAGCTGGAGAGATGGACAGTAAACACAGGACTGGACGGGTAAAGCTGCACTATAAACCCTGCAATAAATACATGAGTTTGAAAGTTTTATGTCAGAGAAAAGTGGAATTACATTTAAAACCACTTTTTAAATTTGCACTAACTACAAAACTTTGTCAAAAATCAAGCCCACATGCAAAATCTGCTCTCTTGGTCGTTACTACATTGTGGCTTTGTGTTGCTGCCAACATCGGGATGTGAGTCACGGTTGGTAGAGTCGTACTCTACTCGCAGAGTGTCCTCATTTAACGGAAACTAATGAAGCTGTTTCATACTTTTCTGTCCATATCTGATTATATAACTGAGTCCAGACAGACATAATGTATTAAAAATTTGCTGTGGTTCTAATTTAGTCTGTTTGCTGCTGCAAGCTTTCAGGTTTTTAATCTACATCTGAATGCATTTAAAGAGAAAAGAATTATTATATGGGGGAAAAAAAAAAAACTTCTAAATATCTAAACTGTGATACATGGGGATGTGTTTTTAGGGACTTTAACCAACACCAGTAAAACCAAACCACAGCAGGATGACTTGCTGGATTGAACTTGTAGAGCGATGCATTTGATAACATGTGTGAGGACGTTCCAGTAACAGGAGAGGACTGTTCATGCAGCACCAAGCCAAGGCTGTACGCACTAAATGTCATGTGAGGATGCTTCCAGAGCAACAGCTTTCATTTATCAGGTAACTTCACACAAACTGCAGTAAAGTGGGAAAATCAAATCAATATGTGGTGCGACTCTTTCCGTCCGGGGTCGTCAGGAACAATCCGATTTCTCTCCTGACGGATAAGAAACTAAACATCTTAAGTGCCCAAAACTTGTATTCAGTTTTGTACGTCAAAAACTTGTATTTATGGTGTACTCAACTATTTAAATTATAAATGTTCAATAATAAAAAATATATATAAATGGGTTAATTTAGCTGTTACGAGTCCTTAAACTCAAAACGCACTTTTACAATTGGACCACAATGCAATTCTTTATGTACCGGCACTGATATAATTAGCTTATTTAAAAGACAGAAAAAAAAATAACAGAATAATTTAGGTAAATTATCTCTCTGATGTGGCTTAATGAAAACAAACAGCTAGCTGCCAATTTCTAATAGGCCATCTTTCATCTGAATGGACACAAAGACTTAAAACCCACATCTTATTGAGCTGTCCAATTGGAAATTCACAGATTTGGCCAAATTTTGCAAACAAAAAACCTGCCAACAAACCCTTCAGATATCTATGCACCCACTGGCACACGCTGCCAATTACCATGATCTCGAAAGCGCTAATGGAATCTTGAGCGGTAATAAAAGTAAATAATTAAATTAAAGGAGCCCTTGTATCATTGTTTGCCGTATTCAGGCCCATTAGAACCTCCAGTATTCTCATGGTAATCTAATGTTTGGGTTTTTTGTGTTGGCATAATGAATTCTGTGTTTTTCCTCCAAACAGTGTTGTTCAGACATTTGTGTAGGTGCTGGCAGAGAAACAAAGACGTACATTAGGAGCCATTGTCCCGCCGTGATTATTAAAGTAAACAGAAATACTGAAGAGGCATCGCACACAGCTGCACACACTCAAGCCCGTGTTTGTGAAGTGGCAGAAAGGGCCAAGCAACCCTCAAGACTTTGTCAGAGATGATCCCATTATTTGGAGCTTCTCAAGAGCGGAGCGGCGAGGCCGGCTAATGAGGCTTTGAAGATCCACCGCCGGCACACAAACTCATCCGCGGCAGAGAATTTCGGGAGCAAAATAGATTTGGCACGAGATGAAATGTTTCAGCCAAGATCAACCGAGAAGATCGTTCGCTGCCTCGGCCGTGCGCCTTTTATTCTGCCGTCATCGTGCTTCCAGGTCCTTCTCCAGAAGACAAAAGGCTGCTCTTAGGAGATGAATGTGGAGGTGAAATGTGCGGGAATTATGTAAACAAGCAGAGGGCTGCAACTAACATGCTCATTATCGATTAATGTGTCGGTCAGAGAATCGATTGTTTGATTTGCAGAAATTACAAACGGGCATCTTTCAGTGACCAATAAGGTTGAATTTTAAGATAAACTAAAGCAGGGAAGCTTTTAATTTGAAGGGCTGCTGAGAAGTATTTCAGCATTTTTGCAGGAAACACAACCTGATAATTATTGATGGATTTATCAATTGACAGAAAATTAACGGACAACTTCAGGTTCATGAAAACACAGCGAGTGTGTTGAAGAAAAGGAGCGTCGGACACGTTTCACTACATAAAACTCTTCAGATGTTCAATGTTTAAAATATTTTTTTAATATTCATGGATAGGATAGGACAATGAAAATCTGTTCCAACATTGGAGCTCAACATAAAAACCTGCTGGCAAAATTGTGCGTTTTGAACTTTACTCCCAACATATTGCCCATAAAGTCAGAATAAACAGGATGTATAGTAAAAAAAACAAATAGTGCGTGTTTGTTTTGTGCAGTCTCTGCTAATGAATAATGAAAAGATTACCAACATCTGACGTAGCCTTGACAACAGCGACGTTTAAAACTAAATAAAAATGATACAATGCAGGACAGGAATAAGTGCGAAGCGGGAGCAGAAACGAACCGAGTCACATCCGAGCACATCAGTCGACGCTGATTTAAAGGCATGGCACCGGCGGACACATGTTCCATACAAAAACCTAGTTTCCTGGTTACCGACTCGTTTTTCCAGACCGTCTCCGGTTACAACGTCTAGCAGCAAAAACCGAGGAAATCTTTGAAACCTGTGTTGCCGTTAAACATCTTGAACTAATTTGAATTAGCTCCGTTTGGCCCCGCTGTGGAAAAAGTGGCTCAGGAGCACCGGCTAACGAGCAGCGGAGAGAGTTATGCAACCGCCTGCTTTCTGGAAAAGACTCTTTTTGTTTTTACGATTATACAACTGTGACAAGAATACAGCGAGTGTTTATCGACTGCTTCGTATGTAAGTTATGCTGCAGCTCAAGCCGACGGTTACTATGACGCGTTTTGCATATGACAAGCTGTAATGTGAATCCTTTGCTCAATCCCAATGTCGCAAAGCAATCATTTTGCTTTCTTGATTCAGCCCACATACTTCAGATTCCTCTCTGTAGGCGATAGCATGCGTTTGAGGTTGACTAGTGGTTGAAACACAACCCCGGTTGCCCCGCTGTCGTCGGACCGAACGGTTAAAAATAACAGTGGCTGTATAGGCAATTTTGTGTTTGTTTGTGCGTCCTCTGTGGCGTGGAGTTCGTTTTATGCGGCTGAATATCTTTAAATAAAGAGTAACGTGGTGCTACAAACATCACATGTCCAGCAGCAGCACTCGAGGATCTTCCACCACCGCTTTGATCTTGCGTAGGAAGGTGACCGCCTCTCTGCCGTCCACGAGTCGGTGGTCGTACGTCAGCGCCACGTACATCATGGGTCGGATCTCAACCTGCCGGGATGTCAGAACATTGGTTTGATCGTTACTCGAGTGCGTGTCATTTGGTAATAACGTAGTGGTAAAATTACCAAGATGAAATGTTTTATTTTAGTTGATATTGCTCATCATTGATCGATTTAGCTCATTTATCGAGGAACACGTATAGTAAGTTTAACACCACAATAAAAAAACACCATTTACACAAACCATCCATCATCTATACACCACTTCATCCTCACTAAGGTCGTGGGGGGCTGGAGTCTATCCCAGCTGACTCAGGGTGAAGGCAGGTTCACCTGGACAGGTAACCAGTCTATCACAGGGCTACACTTAGAGACAGACAACCAAGCACACTCACATTCACACCTACGGACAATTTAGAATCATCAATTAACCTCAGCATGTTTCTGGACTGTGGGAGGAAGCCGGAGAACCCGGAGAGAACCTACGCTGCACGGGAAGAACATGGAGACTACATGCAGAAAGATCCCGGGTGTCCTCACCGGGACGCCAACCGGTGACCTTCTAGCTGCGAGGCAACAGCTCTAACCACCAATCTATGGACACGTGACCCTCACCTTGCCGTTGATGGCCACAGGCCTGTCGAAGATGCCGTGCATGCCCAGGATGGCCGACTGCGGGGGGTTAATGATGGGTGTGCCGAACAAGGAGCCAAACACACCGCCGTTGCTGATGGTGAACGTACCTCCGTCCATATCTTCAACAGCGAGCTCATTGTTACGAGCCTGAGCAACACAAAAAATGATTTGGGTTTTATTCAATGTGGGACGCTGTGAAACATTTTAAAACCAAACTCTTTATGTAGTCTCCAGTTGCATTAAGTTTTTTTTTTTACCTTTTCTCCCAGCGCATTAATGGCTTTCTCAATGCCAGTGAAGTTCATGGTCTGAACGTCACGGATCACTGGTACAACAAGGCCCTGGTTATGAGAAATAACAACCCCGTTAATCGTATGTTTTCAGTGAGACCCAGAAAAATACGAGAGCCAGAAGTCGTACCTTTGGAGTCGCCACAGCAACACTGATATCTACGTAATCTCTGTAGATGATCTCTTTGGTTGTGTCGTCAATGACTGCAGTTAAAAACATTTTGTTAGTAAATCTTTACAGAAAAGGAAAGAAAAACAAGTTTAACTGGTATGTTTGGTTACTGGGGTTCTGCCTGACACATTCCTCAAACGCTCCTTTGGGACTGAAGAAAGTTTCATTTCAAAATAAACGCTTAGGAAGACGAACACATGTTGTCTTACCGGCATTGACAGCTGGTTGGTCGGTCAGAGCGTGAGCAGCAGCCTTAACGAACGCCGACATAAAACCCAGTTTGATGTTGTGCTTTTTCAAGAAAGCATCCTTGTGCAGAGTCCTCATCTCCTGAATGTTGCTGTGGCAAAATGTAGGACATTAGAGGAAAAATGTGGACACTTCATGAAATGCAAATTAGGCTCTTTTGTACTCAGGCTGAAGAAAGTTGAATGAATCTTTTTAGCTCACCTCATGTCCACCTCGTTGAAGGTGGTCAGCATAGCGCAGGTGTTCTGAGCCTCCTTCAGTCTCTGAGCAATCCTCAGCCTCATACGGTTCATCTTCACCTGCACACAAGAAATGACGACAAACCACCTGTGAACATTTTTGGTTGGTTTCCACGTGAAGCTGAGTTCCATCCAGTGCTGATGTGAGAACAGAAACAGCCGGCGTGTGCGTTACCCTGTTTTCTCCTCTGGCTCCTGCTGCTGGAGGAGGAGCTGGTGGTGGAGCTGCAGCAGGCGGCTTGACGGCAGAAACTACACGAGGAGAGACGACATAGAAATACACATAAATACAAACATGGAATGAATTCACAGCCTCAAGAACTCAAAATACACACAACAGAAGTGAGTAAACCCGTGTACGACATCACTACAATGTGAAATGATTTAAAACTGTGTCACCTCTCAGTAACTACATTACTTCTAAGTTGACATGTAGAAAATTTCCTCTTGTGAAAAAATCAGAAAAAATACTTTGGAAAGACTTGATTGAAAATACAGGCCTCAGGGTAGAAATTCAACAGCACAACAGTGAAAACACATATGATCACTGACACACAAGTGAGAAAGCCTGGAGTTGGTGTAATCGCATGAACTTTGCTATAAAATGAGCTGTGAACTCCAGGAATGGAATCTAGGCCTCCGTGGTGAACAACTAAACATCTGCAAAACCAAAAAGCATGTCCTACTGCAGCATTCATTTGGATTTATGTTCTAATTTTAGTTGATTATGATATTATCTCCGTTAAAGGGGTCTCATCTGAAACACTCACAGCGACACCTTCTGTAACCGGAAAGCAGATAAATATATCAGCCGTGCCGATAAAGCCCTCCATGGAAATGCTCCCCTTTTATTGGCTTCTCAACACTGAATAATGGCCAATATTATGAATTTATGAACCAGGACTCATGTCAAAGGCTTTGATAAC